CAAAGGGTTTGTGTACTTTTATGGCAACAGGTGATATCACTGAAATTTACGTTTAGGAATATTATCACTTTTGTCCACGTTTATTAATCCTGTGACAATTTCTAGGCAAAAATGTTTCAGAGAATTTTGTTCAGATTTTTCGTGGCATATTTTAATGCAATATATAAGAGTTTACTAGAGTTACATCTAAAAAATGAAAAAATTCTGTGCCGCCATTTTTTGCTTTTCCTGCCAATTTCATATATACTTTTCAAATGATCAAAGTGGTCTACAAATCCCATGTTATTATTATAGTCCGCAATAGTTTTTGGACAGGTAATGTTTTTCATAGTTCCCTCTTTTTCTTTTCTTTGTACTTGAAGAATTTCAATCGGCTGATTTTGATTTGATAAGATTCACGCATCTCTTATCTTTCCACTTTATGCATGTAATCTTGTCGCTGCTAACTGAGAAATCAAAAATCTTCCTCTTGTTAAGGCTTTTCCCTCTTTGAGGTTTTTAGGCAGGTTTCTTCTTATTCATATTTACTGTTTCCACAACAATAAATATTTTGCGTTTTTAGAAATCTAAATAAATTATACGCTGTGAAAAAATTGTCCATAAAAAGGTTGTGATTTTTCCCACATAATGGAGTGCACAAGTTTTTTACTACTCTTTCCACTAAATTTTTTTCTGCTACTTCACCTGTTTTGCCAGTATAAATGTCAAATTGGCAGACGAATCCGCTTTCATAGCACTGCATCCATACCTTGTAGCCATGTTTGATCGGTTTCTTTGGCAAGTATTGCTTCAACGAACAACAACCTTTAAATTTGATCATCGACTCGTCTACAGCTTGATTTTGGTGTGGTTGTAATGCATTCAAAAACTTTTCAGCCAAATTTGACAAAATTGGCCACAATTTATATAGTTAATCGAATTCTGGGGATCCCCTCTGAGGTTGAACAGTATTATCATTCAGGTGTAGATGGGATAAAATCCACGTAAATCGTTTCACGGACATTTGATCAGAAATATATGCATCATGCATTTCTGGTGTAGAGACGACCAATAATCCCTGTAACTGGGGATCCTCTTTATTCCCATCAATAAATTTATTCCTAAGAATTTTAACAGTTCATTTAAATTAATTTAAACTGTTAAAAGGTTTGTCCTTTTGTGTTGCATACTAAATTCGTCTGGAAAACTACGTTTTCCATCACAGCGCCATGTCAAATAAAAAACAGAAATAGCGCAATAGGGGAATTTGTCTTCCATGGACAAAACTTCATCCTGATGGCCCTGATCTTTCCGAAAATTCCGGATTTACTGTCATTTACGTCATTTCTTCTTTCCCACGTTATTTTCTAATGTCTGAGACGATGGTCTATCTCTTGCATATCATCAGCACGACTTTGATTCTCATCCTCTGAAGTCCTGATTCATACGAGACATACACTTCTTTATTTTGTGCTGAATATTCTTCATCAGAATTATCAGAAATCGGCAATATGTGACTGAGCCATCAGAAGGAAGCTCTTCGAACAGACTGCTTCCACCACAGAAAGTCCATCTTTTAGGCATTTTCTATAAAACTTCATTGTTCTAAACAACTATTCAAAAATTTGCCCGTTTTTTCCCTTCCATAGGTAAATGTTTTGCATCTAAAACTGGCCTTAGAAACATTTTCCCTTCCTTTCACCAACTGTGAAAATTTATTTCGAAAAACCGACCTATTTGTATTCTAACCCAGGGGTAAAATTTCCCTTGTGTTCCTTAGTCTCTTATCTGAAAATAACAAAGAAGATACCCTAAAGAATAAAAGCAAGCTTTCAAATCAGCAGTTTTCCCATTACACTAAGAGATGGAGCTAAAGTGCATTTCCAATTCCCGTATTTTTAAGTGAGCTTCCCCTTTGTGAAGATGGTGTGACACCTGCGCGTGAATCACTTTTTCTTCATTTTCGCTGCACTGTACGATTTTGGAAAACACGTAACAACGGGTGTCTTTAAGGACTAACTTGCCACACTTAACCTCTACAGTTGAGTATCGTTTTGACGCCAGACGAGAATTATTGAAATCGATGAGTCTTTCTCGTGGGAAAGGGTGAAGTGCTGAAATTAAAATTTTAGCTAAACAGACGAATGAAAAACTTGAGTGGGGTAGACAAAGCATAAACCCAAAATAAAACTTGTATTCAGTCCTAGCACAGGATTATTAACACCCCATCCACCAAACATAAATTGAATATAAACAACTTGTAATTACATAAAAAGTTACTACGTTATATATTTAATATAAAGAAATTCTGTCATCTCAAAGAATAGAGAAAGAAAAGCTGGTGCTGCCATCTATTGGCAAGGTACCTCAGTAGGGGCCCGGTTATAATATATACTATTTAAAACGTATAAATAATATTCTTTAATTATTTTGATTGAAATGCATAGCTTTAGGTTCAGCATGTGTGCATCATATATTTGAAGATTTAGAATTTTTTCCTCCCTCCAATGGCATTATGATATTGAAACACGATACTTTGAAAGGTTTATTAATTTCATAACGCAACATTGAGCATTAATAGACTGCTGCCATTTAGAATAAAAGGAACTACTGACTCAAGATTCAGCTTTGGTGTAGCAAAATTAGCATTTTTTCGGAGGTTAAAAAATTGACAAACAACCGGTATATATTCGGTGCCCTTCAAAGGGTTAAATCAAGACAAGCTGTTAAAAATATACCAAGAAAATGTATTTTGTGCAAACGATTCAATTCATCTCCTGGTGTACAAGTTACTGCTCCTTTATCAATAAATCGAACAGAAGAGTTACCTCCTTTTTCTGTCGTAGGCATAGAGTTCAGTGGACCATTTTATATAACAGACAGTGAAGAGAAAAACTACATCATGTTGTTTACTTGTGGAGCAATGCGAGCTCTTAATTTAGTTTGTTGGCAGCATGACCACAGAAACATTTCTTCTTGCATTTCGACGATTCATTGCTCGTCGAGGTCTATTTCTTAAATTTTGACAGATAATGCAAAAACTTGTAAGCGATCTGAACTTTAATTAAAAAATTTGTGGACCTTCATTAGTTATCCAAGAGTAAAACACTTTTATGTCTTCCACAAAATCCAATAGTGCTACATAGCCGAGAAAGCTGAATGGTGGGGTGGCTTCTATGAAAGACCAATCAGATCTGTGAAACTAGCTTTATGAAAAACTACTTTATCTTGAGATGAGTTAGAAAGTTTTATTATTGAAATTGAAGGTGTACTTAACTCTTTTCCTTTAACTTATGTTTATTCTGAATTACAAGAACCTGTGCCTTTAACTCCAGCTCATATGCTATTGGGGCGCAGAGAGAATAGTTTGCCTCCTGCCAGGTTTAATTTTGATTCTAATTTAGGTAATAGGAAATGTTAGTTAAAAGATTTAATTATCGACAAAGATTGCTAAGTATGTTTTTGAATAAACGGGAAAAAAAAAAATCTCTTGATGCTACGATCTCTTCATTGTCTCAAGCCTGCAGGTACAATTACTTAAAGTTAATTGATATTGTATTAATTAATAATGATATGTTACCCAGACATTTTTGGAAATTAGGAACAGTTGTAGCAGTATTTCCTGGCAAACATGGAAAAGTAAGATCTTGTGAAATTAAAACAGTTACTTTAAAACATTTTTTATAAGAATAAAATATCCACTTTTAAAATTTTTGGCGCTTGTTCCCTCTTTTAAACTAACAATTAAAAGTACCTTCACTAAAGAACATCCATATTACTAACAATCTGATAATCAAGTCTGTAAGTGAAAAGCTATTTAAACTACAAAAGCATGAAGATTATCAAAGATGAGAGAGAGGTCCTCAAAAATTAACATAGGAGAACAGTATGATTTTAAAGTATATTTAATCCATTGATATGAGTATAGAAAGCTTGCATTACAATTAACAGTTTTATCTGCTCTCTGACTAAAAGTGAAATCTGAAGTTCGTATTTAGTCAGTTTGTCATGTATAAGTGAATTTACATCAGTCATTAAATGACATTTGCAACTTTTATATAATCTTAAAATCAATGAATAAATTTATTTCTTTTTTATATGTTTATTAATCTGTATTACTGTTACAGGATCATTCCAGATTTGTGATGAAATATTTAACGTGTATGAAATTTAAAAACTGCCAATTTACTATCCATGTTATTCCTTGCTACAAGTAACTTTGTAAATTGTTTAAAGGCGAATGATTCTGTTTATGTACTTAATAAGTATAGTTTCTTTTATATGTTTTAGTAGTTTGAATTGAACATTTTAAGAACTCATTTTGTTTAAAACGGTATTAATGTGAATTATGAATGAACCCCTGATCATTCCCAGGGGGGGCAGTGTGAAGAAACTATAATTACAGGAACCAGACGGTGCTGTGCGTCTGACTTCCTTTTGAGTTAAAATTCTATTGCCATGAAAACCGCGAAGCATGTACAACGATGAAATTTTTGTGAAGTTCTAAAACAATATAAATAATTGATTTATAAGTGCATTTTTGTCGTCATGTATTTGCGTGAGCCGTAAATAAAATCGGATTGAATATCTTTGATTGCACAGATCTTATCTGACAGGTAAGAAGCTTAATCTACGAGTGTCTTATTTGTTTTGAATCAGTTTGAATTCTAAAGCGAAAGTGATTAGATGTAATTGCAAGTTACATTAAATGTTTTGCAAATTTAGATTCTCAATCGAAGCAATTACTTTAAAATATTTTTCTTTTTTTTTTTACTTATGGCAGAAACACAACTATTTATTATATTGTACTTAGTTAAAAGAATATTCATTCAAGCTTATACGAACACATGTGCTTTAAGATTTGCCACAAATTACCAGTAAAGGAAAATTATATATTGAAGAATTAATTTTGTGAGAACATAGTTAGCATTGAGTAAAACTACTAAATCAGAAATGACAGCAACAGACAAACCATATATTTTACAAATGAAGAAAAAGCAAACTGAAGAATCACCACTTACCTGTCTGGCTTTTGATTTGATGAATTCTGTTTTATATTTAAGGTTTAATGTAGAATACTGTTGAAACACCTGAAAAAATATTTAATAATAAAATTATTGAAACAAATATTCAAAATCCTAAAAGCATTTCAATTATAAAATATTTTTTGAGGGGAGGTGGCGCAGTAAATCTTTCATGGAATAATTTCCACTTAAATGTATTCAAATTTTATTATTATTTATACTTACAGAATATACAAAAATATTCAATCACATGTGTGATAATTCTTACATCACTACAACCTATAAAATTGCCACATTTGACAGTAGTATAATTTTTTAATCTATAATTGTGTGCCTAGTATGCTTAAGATATTTAATAGTCTTAAGAAAACTGTCTCCTTTCCCCAACTGGATGCCAAATAAGTCATATTTTTCATGAAAAATATTTCATTTATTTATTATATATTGCTAATTAAATTGAAAAAAGAACTGTTTGTAAATTTTGATTAATTGTCTTTATATAGATATTAATAAATGGCACTTTATACAGTAAAACTGTAAAACAGATAAACCAATTTAAGTACTGATTACTGATATCAGTTTTAAATCTAAATGTGCAAAAAATGAAACGTTTTAAACTTTGCAACATGCTCCAAATTTTATTTTACAGTTAACCATAATTCATATATACACAGATAGTTGCTTTATCATTTAATTATTTGATCACAATAAAGATATAAAAACTCACACAACAGTTCTCTTCACTTAAATTTACCATCAAAATCGGTCTGAAGATATGCCACCTACTGACATGCCTGTTTATCAAATTAATAACAGTCATAGCAGAGACATATTACTCTGCTATAGCAGAGCTTACATAAATTTTAAAGTCCTCTCAAAGGATTTTTATAAGAATAAAATATCCACTTCTAAAATTTTTGGCACTTGTTCCCTCTTTTAAACTAACAATTAAAAGTACCTTCACTAAAGAACATCCATATTACTAACAATCTGATAATCAAGTCTGTAAGTGAAAAGCTATTTAAACTACAAAAGCATGAAGATTATCAAAGATGAGAGAGAGGTCCTCAAAAATTAACATAGGAGAACAGTATGATTTTAAAGTATATTAATCCATTGATATGAGTATAGAAAGCTTGCCATTAAATAACATTTTATCTGCTCTGACTAAAAGTGAAATTGAAGTTCGTATTAGCAGTTTGTCATGTATAAGTGAATTTAATGCAAAAACAAACAATAAATTTGAAAAACAACAAGAAATACAAGATGTAATTATACAGTTTCTTTTCTCTGTTATTAGAAGATATATACTGAATATTTAAAAAAAAATAATAATTCTCATATACATTTAAAAAAAAAAGTATAAATACAAATCAGAAAATGATGAAAAACTCACATTCCAGACAAGTAGAAATACAGTTCCTTTTAAATAATGCTATTATAATTAAATTTTGTAAAAGTAAATAAACAAAAATTTAATGCAAAATAATATAGCAAAAAGTAAGTAAAACCTCTTTCAGGTTGATATTTTGCAAAATAAAAGCAATTCTCTTCTGCTATGGAAAAACATAACGTTCCTATAGAAATTTTCTCAAGTAAAAATGGCATAAAGCAAAATAGGGGGCTCCTTAAATTTGTAAGAAAAACAAATTCTTCAACATGGACAGACCCAAAAATAATAACGATTAAAAGCAATCTAAACACAAACATGCAATTAGAAGGATATATGATAAATTACACATTTTATATACATAAAAACTGCATGTTTTATCTTTTACAATTGCAAAGAAAATTAGCACAATGAAAGGCTCAGAAGAGTTGTCAAAGTCAGATAAGAGTAATGCAATCTCAGGTGAACATCTAAGAGGGGTGCCAAATTAATTTCAAAATTTTAGAAATGCATTTAAAAAATAAATTACGATCATTAATTTTCAGTTCTAAATTGTATTGAGAAGCCTTATTTTGAAGTAGCACATTTAAAGCAATAAAAAGGTTGCTACTTGTGCACAAAAATTCCAGAATGTAAAAATTGATTTAATATGAATCCTGATAAATGGGTTGGTTATTTGAAAGATTTCATGGTTTCCCCCATGTGTAACATAAGTACAAGCCAGTTTCCATAAGTCTTCCATGAAGGATTCCTTCTTAGAAAAATAGTCCTTGAACGTTGTTCCATCTTTTCGGTAGATAGGTGGCGCTCTTGATGCGCGCCGATGAAAAATATTTCACTTGACGCTTGAACTTGAAGAATGACGCATGTCATACCCTTTTTTTGACGCTTGATTATGTTTTCATGGCCGCTATAGGCGGAAGTAATATACTACATCATTAAGTTTATCGTTAATAAATGTTATTTCTATGTTCTGTGAAATCTTGAAGTTTTGATTTGAAATTCTAATGCTCTCCCAACCTGTTTCCTGAAAACGAAATCAACTTGAGAAATTATGACTCATGAAACCCGGGAAAAGGGTAATTACCTTTTGAAAGGTAAGAATTTTGATTTATTTGTTCTTGGTATCAATCTTTGAAAACGAAACATAATGAATGATTTAGCAAAAGAGAAAAAGAAACGTCCTATTGTACGTAGTAAAGTTACTACACTTCTAAATAAACTTGAGAAATTATTATCGGAAGAATTAAGTAAAGAACATCTAGAAGATCTAAATTCATCATATGAATTGTTAATTGAATACCATGAGAAAATCAAAAGTCTTGACTCAAAGATCGATGCTCTCATAATTGATGAAAAAGAATATGATAACGAATTACTTGTATGTGAAGAGTATGATGAAAAAATTATAACGTTTAAAGCTAAGATTGTTAGTAAAGTAAAGAAGATTGAAGTTGTTGAAAGAAGTATAATTACAACTAGTAATGGTATTAGTAGTACGCTGAATGGTAATAATGTTGTTACAAGTAGTGCTTCAGTAAAGTTACCTAAATTAAATATTGAAAAATTTGCTGGTGATCCCAGTAGTAAATGGCTCGAATTCTTTAATTCGTATGATAATGCTATTCATTCTAATCCAAGTTTATCTAAAATAGATAAGTTTACATATTTGAAAAGTTTATTATCTGGTTCAGCATATAATTGTGTTTCTGGTTATGCTTTATCTGAAGAAAATTATGAACTATGCATTAAGAGTTTAGAAGAGAGGTTTGGTCGTAAAGATGTTATTATATCAAAATTCATGCAGATGTTGTTACAGTTAGAACCAGTTAAAAGTTCCTCAAACAGTTTTGAGTTAAGAAAGCTCTATGATCAGTTACAAATCTGTGTTAGAAATTTAAGTAGTTTAGATGTTACTAGCGGTTCATACGGACAGTTATTGAACCCAATAATTCTTAAATTGTTACCTGAAGATTTAGCTCTTGAATTCCATAGAAAAAGAACATCTAACCAAAATATAGAATTAAGTGAATTAAAATCGAAACTGAATGCCGAGAAGCAAGTATTTTGATTAACAGCTCAAAAGGTAATAAATACACAAAGGCTAATCCTAAACAAGGGTTCAAAAATTATAAAGTCAAATGACAAGCTTCTGCTTTTAACACATCGGTAAAAATGTTTTGCATATTCTGCAAATCAGACGAACATACATCTGCCGGATGTTTGAAATTTTCCGACGAACAAAAACGAAACAAATTAAAACGGGAAGGTCGCTGTTACAGTTGCTTTCTAAAATCACATTTGTCATCGAAGTATTGGTCAAAAAAGAACCATGCGAAAATTGTAAAGAGAAAAATCATAATAAACTTTTCTGCCGTTTGAAATCGAAAGAGATTGAAGATGTTTAATCCGCAGATACGCAAAATAAAACTTTAGTATCTACTTCCAACTGTAACACTCTAAAACCTGAAAATAGTGTGCTTTTACAGATATGTTCTGTTATTGCTCAAAGCAAAAATAAATCAATAATCGTAAGATTATTAATTGATTCAGGTAGTGAATGAAACTTCATCACCCACAAGTTAGTGCACGATTTAAAATTGCAAGTCATTAGAAAAGAATCTCTAACAATTTATTCGTTTGGAAATCAGCGTGGTAACTTGCAAGAATTTGATGTATATAGTCTAAAAATATAAAATAAAAACGATGATCACTGCTTTGTTGTAGAAGCTATTGGGATAGAATTAATATCATCAATAGAATTCCAGGCACCATCAACATGTCAAAACATTAAAGAATTTATGACTAAAAAGGGTTTGGAACTTTCGGATACAAGTCCCGTTAATGAGAACATAAATAATCTGCTTGGCGCGGAGCATTTCTGGTATATACAAACAGGAAGTAATTCAGTGATAAATGATGGTTTGATTATAGTACCGACGATATTTGGTTACACAGTGATGGGTAAAGTAAAAAATAATAATACTCGAATTAATGCGTTGTTTTTATCTGCCGTTGAAGGAAACACATTTGATTTGCAGTCATTTTGAAAATTGGATTCGATAGGAATTGAAAATGAAAACAAAACCATTTTCGGAAACTGATTTGGATACTATTAAGCATTTTAACGACAGTTTAAAATTTAATAACGGCAGGTACGAAACAAAACTCTTTTGGAAGGACAATAAATCACAACTTGCTAATAATTTTTTCATTGCTAAACAACGATTTCTAGGACTAAAGCATAAATTAAAGGGAAATGATTTCCTATATAATGAATATGATAATATAATTAGAGAACAAGTTGAAAGGGGGATTGTTGAACAATGTAAGTTTGTTGAAAATGAACCTAACTGTTATTATATGCCTCATTGCCTGTTATACGTAAAGGAAAAGTAACAACAAGAATAAGAATAGTTAATGATGCCTCCTCTAAATCTGAAGGAGCTAAATCGTTAAATAAATGTTTGATATCAGGCCCTAATTTAAATCCTAACCTGTTGGATATAATTTTAAAATTTCAGGTACATAAAGTTGCATTTTGTGCAGACATAGACAAGGCTTTTAACCAAATTCAAATTGATAGTGAAGATAGAAATTTTTTAAGTTTCTTGTGGTTTGATCATTCTTACAACGATAGTGACAATAGTTTAGGCTTTAAGGTTTTCTGAATGTGCCGAGTGCCGTTTGGAATGACAACAAGTCCGTTATTTTGTCCGCCACTATCAAACATCATATTAAGGGTTATGAAAAGAAATATAGCAAAGCTGTTGACATGTTAAGTATGTCCTTATATGTTGATGACCTTATCCATGGAGCAGACTCCGTTGAAGAAGTTTTCTCATTATCAACTGATGCAGTTAAAATTCTTCAAGACGCTGGTATGAACTTTGAATCAAATTCCGTATGTTTAAAAAATCATTGGCAAGATATTGGTTTAATTAATAAGGAAGATAATTTGGATAAGAAAGCATTAAAGGTGCTGGGAATAATTTGGGATTTGGATGAGGACACATTGAAATTAGATGTACAAGAACTTTTACAACCAGTTGACTGGAAACACATTACGAAGCGAAAGGTATTACAGATTGTGGCAAAAATTTATGACCCAGTTGGCTTCATTGCACCTTTTGTTATCAGAATAAAATTCTTATTACAAGAGTTATGGGAATTGGGTATTGATTGAGACACAATTCTGTCCAGCTATTTGAGTGAAAAATTTAAAACTTGGTACTTTGAAATTGAAGTTATTCTTAACTTGTGTATTCCTAGAAAATACATATTAAAGGATGAATGTGTAAATTTCGATAAAATAGAGCTTTTTGTCTTTTGTGATTCCAGCCTCAAGGGATATGGAGCTGTTGCATATTTTCGTGATCCTGATTCTTGCTGTATGTCTTTTGTTCTTTCAAAGAGCCGTGTATTCCCACTTAAAAACATTAACCTTGCCTCGTTTAGAACTTATGGGAGCCATTATTGCAGCAAGAATAGTTAAATATTTAAGGAAATAGTTTGATATCCAAGAAGATACTGTATTTTGTTTTAGTGACTCTAAAATCCTTCTTCACTGGATCAGGGGTACCACTAATAAATGCAAAACCCTTTGTTGCTAATCGTGTACATGAAATACAAGATCTTGTATCACTTCACAATGGAAATACTGTAAGGGAAACGAAAATCCGGCTGGCACAGTTTCATGTGAATTAAGAGCTTCTGATCTAGTGGGGAAAAAAACTTTGATTCAAAGGACCAGTGTGGTTGAAAGAGAAAAATCTACCTTCATCATCTTTTGATCAAGCCTATGGTAGAAGAGGTACAGGTAGAACAGCGTCAAACTACTGTATGTTCTGTTATTAGCCAAGAGGCTGAATTTGAATTGACCTCCAGGTTTTCATCCTGGAAAAAACTGAAATGCGTAACTGCATGGTGATTAAGATTCTGCCACAATATTAAACCTACATCTTTAAAACGCAAGGGTTTTTTAAGAGTTCAAGAATTGGATAAGGCAAGTAATTTGATTTTTAAAATCATGCAAAATTCCGAATTTAGAAAAGAAATTAGACCCAATCATTCTTTCCAAAAGTCACCAAGTTACTGAATTGATAGTCAAACACTTTCACGAAGTGAACCTTCACGGAGGAGCCACATTAACATTATCTGCTTTGCGACAGAAATATTGGATCGTTAATGGCCGAGAAATTGTAAGAAAAATAATTTGGAAATGTATAAAATGTTTTAAAAATCGAACAAGCACATCCACTCAGATAATGGGCGACCTACCTGCTTCTCGCATATTGCCGGATAGAACATTCTCGAAAACAGGACTAGATTTTGCAGGCCCCTTTTTAATTAAAGCTAGGAAAGGAAGAGGGGGAACGAGATATAAATGTTATGTTTGCCTTTACATACGCTTCACCACAAAGGCCATTCACCTAGAAGTAGTCAGTGATTTAACAACTGAAGCATTCCTTGCATCTCTGAAAAGATTTGTGTCGCGCAGAGGAAAACCCCAAAAAATCTTTTCAGATAGAGGAACCAACTTTGTTGGGGCTGATCGAGAATTAAGAAGATACATAGCTACAATTTCCTCTGAGGAAGCATTTCAAAAACTACCTGAGCGGTGAAAAATTCAATGGATCTTCAATCCTCCTGCTGCCCCTACTTTTGGAGGCCTTTGGGAGGCTGGAGTGAAACAAATGAAATTCACTTTAAAGCGGACTATTGGGACCCAGGTTCTGACATACGAAGAATGTCACACCCTTAATTACACGAATCGAGGCTGTTTGAATCTAGGCCAATAGTTCCATCTCATCTGACCCTGAAGACTTTAATCCTTAACACCTGGACATTTCCTAATTGGGACTACATTAACAGCAATTCCTGACCTGATCTACAAATAATAAGCTAACCTGTGCTGAAAGATGGAAATTGAAACAGCAATTTTCCAGAGTTTTTGGAAACGTTGGTCTAGAGATTATCTTTCATAATTACAAGGGCATACCAAATGGTTGAGGGATAAACCAAATTTAGCCCTCAATGACTTAGTCTTGATAAAGGACGAAAATTTGCCTCCATTAAAGTGGCGACTTGGAGGAGTAATTGAACTATATCCTGGTGCTGATGGAAAAGTTCATGTTGGGAAATTAAAACTTTGTTGAGCAAAATGAAGCGTCCTATACATAAACTTTCCCGCTTACCATTGAGTGAATAAGACTCTAAAAAACATTAATTGCATATTCATAATTTGTGTCTTTACTGTTATTAATTCAATTATGTTTCAGATTCAGAGAATGGACCACAATTGTGTATTATGGTAATTTGGTAGTTTCATTATTTTGTTTTCCTTCTAGAGATTGTAAGTATGTTTTATTTGTAAAATTTTGTGCTAAATTTAATGTTGTTATTCAATTAAATTTGTCATTATGCATTTTATTTTATATATATACTGTTTGAATGTTTGGGAAAACTTGTTAAATAATCTAAAATTGAAGATCTTTATAACAATGTTGTAATGAACCAATGTTCATCGTGGCGGAGTATGTTCCGTCTTTTCGGTAGATAGGTGGCACTCCTGATGCGCGCCGATGAAAAATATTACCACTTGACGCTTGAACTTGAAGAATGATGCATGTCATACCCTTTTTTTGATGCTTGATTATGTTTTCATGGCCGCTATAGGCGGAAGTAATATACTATATAATTAAGTTTATCGTTAATAAATGTTATTTCTATGTTCTGTGAAATCTTGGAAGTTTTGATTTGAAATTCTAATGCTCTCCCAACCTGTTTCCTGAAAAAATCAACTTGAGAAATTATGACTCATGAAGAGACACCATACAAATGTTTTGCATATTTATTAAACATACTAGATGGATAATATTTTTTTTTTTTTTTTTTAGAACAAAACTTACAGAAAATATTCTTGTGAAATGTGAAAATTCAACTTTAGTTAAATTTAAAATTCTAAATTATTACATGTATTACTTTCTGAACACATCAAGATATTATTACAAATATTATAATAGTTATGGTTGATTTTGTGTAGTTACTTTTATTGAATATAGATGTGTACAGATAAAAGTTAATCTGATTGTATAAAGAGGTATGCATTTACTTCTTTGCCTCAAGCAAAAAAATAGTCTAGGCACAGTTCTGAACCCCCATACATAACAAAATTATTTTTGTATTTTTAGTTATAATAATAATTGAATACCAAAGTTTATGAAGTATAAAATCGCATGATTTATACATTTGTAAAAATAATTTTATATACCTTTTTAATCAAGCCATTCATTGTAATAGACCATAAATCAGCTTTAATAATTTCCGATATCACCTTTTCTAAGTCTTCATCCTATATCAGGGAAAGAAAGTATGTATGAAATTCTTACACTTTTTTTCAAAAATACTTCATAGAATTTATTATGCAAGAATATTAAATAGAATTATTTACGCATGAATTTTAAATTTTTCATTCGATCTCATCTACAGATATTACCTACAAATGGGAGGAAAAGTTAAAGAAGTTTTCCTATCAAAATACACACACAACACAAAGATAAAAGAAAAAAAGAGGGAGGGGAAAAACATGTCTTTTAACCCCTGAGTAGCATGATCACCTTTATCCACTCATGAGATTTCTTGTCATTAGCCTTATTAATACCTTATTACTTAAAGATTTTTATATAAACTTATATGAATGAAAGTTTATAGACTAAAATAATTAACTGTACAAATTTAACCTTTTCGCGACGGTGCACCTTTGCTTAAGACGCTCATGCTGGACGGAAGGGAATCGAAGGCAGTCACCGTACAGGATGGAGGTTTTGCATCGCTAAGCCTAATTTTATTTTTAAAAAAAATCCACTTTTAGCATAGTAATTTTTTGTATTATTTTAGATTATTACTTGAGCTCTTATATATATTAAAATTAGCACTTAATAACTTTTTTTTTTCTTTATTTTACATGAAAATATACTTAAAAAATTGCTTATCTTGTAAAATAATTTTCGGAAGTGCTATTCAAATTATTCCAAAGTTTTAATTGATAAAATCCATCAATAAAGTTTTAAATTAATAAAACAACACAATAAAGACTATTTACAGTAAGAAGTAACAAAATTTAAAATGAAGACTGTGATAAATCTCGAAGCATGGAGAAGTATCACTTTCTAACTCTTTAGAAAATGAATCATTACTCTCATCTGCGTTAATATGGTTCATTGACCATACGAGAGTATTCTTCCTCTGATAAATAGCTCCTTTCCGCCATAATAGACTGGAGGTGAGGCGAGGCTTTCCGAAATAAAAAGAAAAGAAACGGAAATATATCTGAAGGGCAATGCAAAACCTAGCAGTACTCCACATACTAACCCTAAAAGACCATACACAGTAAAGGAAAAAATAGAATAAAAAAAGGAATTGGATATAAATCAGACACGCGAATGCTTTCATTAGCATGCAGCAATTTAAAGAGCTCACCCCTGTTTACGCTTCCCTCCCCCACCCTCGCAAGTAATTGATGAGTAAAATACCAAAATCAAGCAGAATATATCAAACTCAAGGTCAAGAAGTTAAAACTGTGTTCATTTCAAAAGTAATGGACATAGGATACCATCTAGTGGCCTTAAGAAAAACGTTCCAGCTTAAAATGCGTATACGCATCACCCATTCATTTCTTGTTCTTTTAGATGGTCTGATCCGACATGTTTCATAACAGCTTTAATTTATGAGTAAAATCAATTCTCTTTCTAGCTTTAATTTGTCCCTTCTTAATAACAATTTTAAATCAATTGGGGCTTTTGAAATACTAATAATGACTTATATCTAGCCCCTTGCAAACTGTGGAGAGGGGTGAGAGCGCTTTATTTAATCTTCATTTCTTTATGCAGAGCTTATTGGTCAGTTATGAAGAGCAATTTAGTATTTAAAGTCACATGCCAAAGGAAAAGGGACATAATGTTCTAATGACTTCAAACTAAAGTTGCAGTTGGTCAGAAGCTAATTTGTTCCCTACAGTCATATGTCATGGTTCTAAGTAGATATTAGTAGAAACATGAATTCATAAATGCTTTTATGAATTCATGTTTCTCCCCCACCAGTGAAAGCTTGAAAGTATTTGAAAATAATTAGGCACTGAATTGAAAAATATCATTGGTATTAGATATCTGGAGTTTTTAATATAATATTACGTATTTGGTGATGCTTTGGATCACATATTGCTGCCAGCATCATTAGTTTGTTTGCCACAATATGGCTCAGTACTCTTTCTACTTGAAACATAACTTAACAGAAATAATCAGATTGCAATATAATTCATAACAGATATATAATATTAATGCATAAAGATTTAAATTAGAATATTAAACTCCTATTAGACAAATAAATTAGAGCTCTAGATATCTAATACATATTTCATTATTACATGTTAAATAAATAATACAGTAATGATGGAAAAAACATTAAATAAAATTATACTCCTCCTTCTCTCATAAAATTTAATTCCCTATTTTTAGTGCAGCTCTTAAAGCATTTTATTGATAAAAAAGATCATAATATTTTTTTAAAATAAAGGGAGATTTAAAAAAAAGTCACCGGACATGTCATAACTGGAAAGGGGGAATCTATCATTTTAAATTAAGCAATATTTTAATGTTACCTAACTTTTGCTCCAAATCTTTCTCAAGCCTCTGATTCAAAATAGGCATATATTTCATGCAATTATATCACATATTTTCTTCACAATTTCATCCACATACATATAATGCATGAACTCATAAACAGATCACAAAATATTTTTAAAGCTTGATATTAAATCCCAATTTAACAGACTATTTAAGGGGCAAGGGCTATCTAATAATGTTTACAGTCAGTTAAAATAGATTTAAAAAGTTAAACATACTAAAGGATACTCCAGTGTGTAAGGCATCATATTTTAATATTATTTATCAAAACTGATAAAAACATTAAAAAAAAACTTACAAACCCCGTCAAATAACCAAACTTGTTTAAATTCTTATCCCGTAGGACTTCAACAAACAGCATGGAATTATGTATACAAACTATTAGAATTAACAGCACTAATAGAATAATTTGGACTTAGCAGTTTCAATTTGAAGGAATTTTTTTAAGTATCAAGAGTGAAATATGTCATCACATATTTTTAAAAAGAACAGAAACAAACAAGATACGCAGTAATTTACTGTACTTACTGTCGGATGATGAAGAATTTCATACAGTGGTACAGAGTCACCATCAGGATCATCATCTAAATTTTGTGAGACATCTAAAAACAGTATACAGTTTAACAGTACCTAAAAACAGTAAATAATACAAACACACACCTTTTTCATTGAAATCATTAAAAAATTATAAAATACTTCACTTGTCTTTTGCTAATGTCATTTGTACGATATGGTGTCCTTTTTTATAATTTATCAGCAATTTCCTGTAATTATTTATTATTAAATTTTATATTTCTTTTGAACTTTAAAGAATATCCTCGAATTGTCAGAAAGCCCAACAGCTAAGGCTGCTTCTGCTTTCAGGACAGCCATAGGTAATGAGTATACTAATGCACTGAATTTATATTGGTGTTTTGAATACTCCCATATGCCTTCTTTACAAAAATAAGACACGAATTAAAATTATTTTTCATTATACTTTACCCCCACTGTTGATGTTAGAGGTGCCATCTGTGAAAAAAAATCATCGAAAAATTCCCAGATCTCTGAATTAAAAATTTTCAACAGAAACTGATCTTAAAATCATAAAGTTTAGAACCGTTTAATAAAAGAATTCATATCCCTAATTAAGCGAAAAAACTTCATTTGTGACAGAAATCCAGTGCTTAGAAGAGGATGCTCCTACCTAATAGTAGTAAACTATTGAATTTGTGTCCATTTCTAGACCATGATGGAGAGCTCAGAGTGGATGGCAGGCTGAACATAATTTTCCTGTAACTGTGATTAATCATTTTCACGCAGGTGCTGAAACAACAAAATTCCTTATAAGGAGTAAATTTTGGATTGTTTCTGCAAGAAATGTAGTTAGAAAAATTCTATTTAATTGTATGATTTGTAAAAAGGTAAATTCCAGGTCTGTGCAGCAACAGATGGCTGATTTACCAGCTGCGAGAGTGACCATATCCAGAGTTTTTGCGAGAACATGACTCGATTTTTGTGGTTCATTTGTGATAAAAAATTTTGTAGGTAGAAGTACACAGGTAAGAAAAGTGTTAGTATATATTTTTGCATGTTTTATAACGAAGGCTTTGAGACTGTAAGTGATTTAACAAGAGCAGCATTTATAGCAGTACTTAATGCCATGCGAGGTAAAATCTCAGATATTTTCAGTGATAATGGTGGAAATTTTGCAGGTGCTTATAGAGGATTAATAGCGACTCTAAAATCTTTATTTAAGGATAAAAGTGGGGGAAGAAATCAAAATTTATTTAGCTAGTGAAGGCATAAATTGGCATTGTAATCCTCCCTCTACTCCTCACTTTGGAGGTTTATGGAAAGCTAGTGTGAAATCCCTTAAATATCACTTGAAATGTGTGGTGGGAAAAACAATTTTAACTTATGAAGAATTTTTGACACTAATATTTCAAATTGAATCTGTACTTAATTCTCGTTCTCTTTGCCCTATTTCAAATGATCCAAATGATGTTGAAGCATTGACACTTGCTCAACTTCTTATTGGCTCATCTTTAATTGCAATACCTGAACCTAATTTTACAGAGATTCCTATAAATCAGTTGTCTAGATGGCAAATGGTTCAGAAACTAAATCAAAATTTTTGGAAAAAATGGTCGTCTGAGTACTTAACAAAATTTTGAATAGACCTAAATGGTATAAAGGAAAGGTAGACATAAAGGAAGAAGATTTAGTTTTAGTACAGGATTTGGATAACTATTCTCTTTTAAAGTGGCATTTAGCATGAATTATTAAAACCCATACAGGTCAAGATAATATTATTCGAGTTGTGACACTTAAAGATAAAAGTGGAACCTATAAAAGGCCAATGACAAAAATTGTACCTTTGCCTTTTGTTAATGAAAAACTTTCAGTTACTTAATACTTTTATTCGTAGTTAATTATCAAGTTTTAGGTATTATTGTATAATCATCATTATTGTTATTATCTTGAAGTATTTTAATTGTAATTGATATACCAATTTAGTGTTATATCATTGTATTTGATATAGCTCGTCTTTCTAAATTTATTATTGAATGTTTGCAACATTCAAGGCCAGGTGGCATGTTGACGGCAGAGGCACCATCTATGAAAAAATGTATAATATTTGTCTTCTAAAAAGATGATGCTGATGTTTATTTATAGTGCCATCCTGTGGCTACTTTTATTGAGTTTTGAGTATGTTCCGAGACGCCGCCGAGAGATGTAAATTAATGATGCGAATTTTTTAGTAATTAATAAATTTTCACATACAGACCCTTTTTGAGTTCTTGTGTAAAGTGATTTATTTATTTAAATATGTGTTTAACTGAGCTATTGACGGGCCCACCTCTAAGAAAAACTATTTTTAATCACAATTAAGAAGCAAGTGATCTATATCTGCTCTTTAGGTTATGTTTTATATTTTTTGTAATTTATATCCTTGTAAGTTTACTGTAATTTTACATAACCAGTTTATTTTATGATTTAGATCTTTACTGTCACTTCTCTCTTCCGTTTCCCTGCCAGAACGCAAATTTAGTTTGAGGAATATTTAAGCTGAAAATGTTCAGATTGTATGAAAAGATGGATGATCTGCTCTAAAGCCAATTCGAAGAACAATTCACTTTACTGAGCTAATGATCAGTACTCTGGCGAAAACAGAAGGGAAGTTCTTTAACAGTTCACCAAGAACTGTTGTTGGGAAGCATACCAAAAATTTGATTCCTCTTAATGTAAACACTAGCATTCTTTGTTTCATAATGTACAGGAAAGATTTCTGACCTATATTTTATGTGTTATGTATATATGTGTGCTTTTCGTTTGCTTGCGTTCCATCTCTATTTAAAAAGCAAAACATAAAAAATAAATAAATTAATTAATTAAAAAAAAAAGCATCTCAACGAAATTGAACACCTGTTTGCAAATGTACAGAGTTCCCCTCCCCCATCTGGCAGTTCAAGGATCTGTTTAAAGTATGAAGATTATACAGGGTTCGTACACATTTTCTTACATGAAAATTAAGGACTTTTAAGGACCATCAAAGAAAAAATTCCTTGAAAAACATGTATAAGTGTAATTTACACGAATAACAGTCACTATTTTAGAGATTTACATGATTATTATTTAACTTATTTGATACTTACTTAAACACAGTCAACTACTATTATAAACACAATGTAAGAATATTTTGCACATTAAAATAACTGATTTGTAAACATACAATTTATTTCCTTGGTATTTTGAAAGATACTAGAATAATAAACTGTACAATAAAAGATACAAACATTTGTGCTTTTTTTAAATCTGAAATCTTTTCAGCTATTTTAACATCCAATTTATTTATGTCTATTTCCTTTTCTTTAACTATTCTTCTACGTTCATTTGCTTTGATAAACAAATCAATGTTCCTGCTGGTCTCAACTTCATCTGCTAAAGCATCTACTTCTTCATTAATATCTTTAATGCCCCTTTGAAAAAAATTTTTCTTCTGCTTCATATAATCAATTTCTTCCTCAATAAAATTTCTTTTACTCTTTGAATTTTCAGATTTAGTTAAAGATTTTTGTTCTTCTAAATACTGAACTTCTAAATAACGAACTCCACTTCTTGCAGAAGCTGCTGCTGATCTCATTTCTTTATTAATTTTGATATTAAGAACACCTCCAGAAAATTTTATGTAATCAAATACTGTGCATTGAAAAATGTATGATGAGTCACTTAAATTTTCAATTTCGATTGCTTTATTTACAGAGAAGCCCCTTTCCACAGAGGCCTGTTCATGTGACAAGATAAGAATACTTATCACAGTGAATACTTAAAAAGTGAAAATATACATTTTTTACTATATATATATATATATATATATTTATTTCCTAAACAATATTGATTAATTGATTATATTATCTCCTAAGTTTAAATTAAAGTAGAATTATTTTAAAAGAGTGAATCCATACTGGTAAGTTATATTTTGAAAGATGTATATATATATATATACAGTACAAAGTCCCAGATCCGGACATTCAATATCTGGAATGATCTAAAATCTGGACCTCAAAGCCACCACCAACCAATTTTTTACGGCTTTTTTGAAGGGAAGGTGTATGCTTTAGAATTTTTTTTTTTCCTCATCATAAAAAAACATGCCGGAAAAATCCAAATCCCGATTCTTAATCTCAGTTTTGGCGCTAAATAAAATATCTCATTATTGAAGAAATAATTATTTTAGCATAAATTTGTGTGATTAGTAACTTGACTCCATAGCTCTGCGTATCTGCTTGGCATAATCTCAAACCGAAACATTTGTTAATTTTACACCAACTAATATTTTATATCCTTGATGCCAAAATCACGAATCATTATTTATTGTATTTTGATTTCATCACCGCATGTTTATCAACGGATGACAACTTGAGTGATGAATCATGCAGCGATGCCAAATAACAGAGTATTATCCGATTACAGATTTAAGTTTAATGCGCTAAAATGTTGACAAGGGGAGATTTACCAGAAATTTCTTTCCTTATGCTAAAAATAGATTTTGTTGATGATACTCATAGGACAAACGATTATATTTAGTGCTATTTGAATTAAGAATAACTGGTTTGTTATTCACATAAAGCCAGAAGCAGTGCCAGATCTCGCATGGCCGCACCAGGCGGCAGAATTTAGCGAAGTTAAACAGAAGTTTTTCATTGCGATGACAATTCCCAATCATCAATCAAATAACGGAGGGCGAAATCCGTAGTATGGTTCTAAATCCAGAAAATACAGCTATCGATAGTGAAGAAAGTAACAGAGAGGTTACTGAACGAGAAAAAATTTTGATTGACAAGTTATTCGGAATTCTCGACACAGCAATTACAGGACTTGAGCAATGGAACTTAATAACTGAACAAGAAATTATATGTCTAAAGTATTAGCAGAGAAAACAAATCAAACAACTCACATTGAAAGAAATGTTTAATAAAGTAAACATATAAATATTAAGCTCTTTTCTTTTGTAAATTTTGATACCCTTTAAATCATAAATGCTTTATTATTTCATAAATCACGATTTCATATTTTCAATTTTATAATTTCTACGTGCCATCTTAGTAGATTTAAAATG